ACTCGTGCAGCCGCCATTACCGCTGAGGTGCATCGATTGCAGGCCGGGTACGTGACGGTGCAGCGATTTCTGAGTTTCGTTTGGACAGGATAAGTTCATGCCTACTTATTTTGCTGTTAACAACAGCATGCCGGTAAAGTAAATAGAACGTTAATTGTTACGGCACTATGGTCTTAGAATCAGTGCAGGTAGCTTCGAATCCAGATAAACCACTTGCTGATCAGGCAATACTGTATGTGTGCTTGGCACCCAGCGTGCTTTCAAACATTTAAGAACAGATAATATACGCCATGAATGCATTCGGAGTGTTCCATGTTATCGCGAATCAATGACAGCTCTTTTTTAAAGGAATGACTTTTTAGCAATTGCTAGTCTTATGTGTCAACCATTTAGTTTTAGTCAATTGCTTTAACACGCGCCAGGGTTGCCCCACCCTTCGCTCGGGTGGAGGTCAATTTGACCCCCCCCCCCCCACCAAGATCTCAGGAACTAAGAGAGCTAAAGACACCAAATTTGCACTGTATGTTGACCTGTATTTTGTTGTTGTTGTATGTTGTATGTTGTACATTGTATGTTGACCTGACCGTAAACTCACTTAGATGAAAGTTTGGGTTCTTAGGTCATGACCTTCGGGTCAAATAAGGTTAAAAAGGTCAAAATTAAGGTTGGTCTCCAAAGGACCCCTGGAACCTACATAACTGTTCTAGGCACAAGGTCACATGCTCATCTAAGGTCAGTGACCTCGGTTGGCCCTTTGAAGGTCATGGTAACCAAAATAATACAAGACCGCTTTTGAGTTTTGTATTTGGATAAGCGACGATTACGCTAGGCAGCATGTTCCTACAAACAAAATGTTGACCTGGGTCATTCTAGATCAGTGACCTATTCTGACCTTTAAGATGACTATGGAAGGTGTATAATGTGCTTCCTGTGATCAATAAATTCAAAATGAACACCAGAAACTAAACAATACAGCAAGCAATAGAGTATCAAAATAGATTGATTTTTACCTTGGTCTGACCTTCAAACCCACCTTGGGTTAGTGCAATTTGTTCATTCAATTGCTGTGTTGCCTAAGAAATTATCTTAGAGATACACGGCTTTATCCAACATTCCGTCGTTGGATCAGGTTGAACAATTCTCTTGAAATTGCCTTCGTTGAAACCATGGCATGACTTTGACGGCGACCTCGCCAGGTACATCTTAATTTTTGATACTAAACGACCCGCTTGTCTGTCTACAGCTATGCAAACTGTCTACTGTCTGCAAACTGTCTACGTCAGCTATGCAAACTGTCTACAGCTATGCAAAATTTGGCGTGGCTACGCCTTATTCAAATCCGCTCCAGTCCACCTTTTTGAAGTTCCAACGCTGAGATCGCATACCAAGAACAGTAGCATCACGGTACCGAACCCAGACCGGAAAATGGTCACTTCCGAGGGGTCCTCTGAAGCATCCCACGTGAGGTGTGGTACCAACTGCGGACTACAAAGGCTCAGGTCTAGCACTGACGATCGTCCTGATGGCAATGTAAGATGCGTTCTTACTTCTGTATTTAAAACACAAACCTTCGTCACGCACGAAAGCCTCACATAGCCTACCGCGAGTGTTTGTGGAAGCACACCCCCACACAGTATAATGTGCATTAAAATCGCCTAAAACGAGCAGAGGGGGAGGAAATGGAGAGACTAACTCTCGTAGTTCTCCAGATGGAAATGAAACCCCAGGTGGTAAGTAGAGAGAGCAGATATGGTACGGCGGTTGAAATTCACCGTTGCTGCAACAGCTTGCAAGTCTGTTCTCAACACCAGACGCCGTGTAGGTACGCTTTAGTGTACAGTCAGCAGAACGCCACCGTAAGCAACGGTGTCTGTTGGTATGCCAGTGCGGTAGGTAGTGTACCCTTTCAGGCTGAGGGCCGCATCAGGCGTCAACTTAGTCTCCTGGAGACACACGGCTACCGGGCAGTGCGCGCTCAAAACTGCCTGCAAGCCCTGGGTGCTTGACCTTATACCTCTACAGTTCCACTGTAAGATCGACTGAATGAGGGGCTTTAAAAGCACTGTAATGTATTAAAAGAACTCAGTAGCGCTAGAGCCCGGCCCATGGCTGATGCTCCTGTCTTCAGAACCCGTTCTCAAAGAAACCGGGCGGATCCTGAGGCGGATCCGGGGACTACCGCCATCTGTTGGCGAAATCTACCCCGGCGGACCAATTTTTTCCGGGCGCCCCGTCCTAAATGGGGCCGGCGCCGGCGACATCGTGATCATAGGTGGCGGTGGTGGAGGAGGACACATAGGCGGGTCTCTCCGCGGGTTGGGGGAGAGGGGGGACTGCGGGAGCTTCCACACGTTTTCGGGGCGGCGGGAGGGCCTCCCCCATTGGAGCGGTCACCTGGTCCGCTCCAGACAGCCGGTTGGCTGCCCTGGCGTGCTCCTGGTCCGTCAGGCGTGCCCGCTTCGCCTCACGGACGCGCCTGTCTACCTCGTGACGCTCAAGCGTCTCTGCCGTCCGCGAGCGCACGCTCGCCACGGTTGCTTTAGTCGTCGGGCTGGCAGACAAGGGGGCAGCCGACAGCGCCTGGCCGCGTTACCCCGGTCACGCCGAACTACAGTCCAACCACCGTCCCCTGCCACCGACGGCGAAACCCCCACGGGGGGCGAGGAGATTGGCAGCACGGTCTCCTTCGACCGTTCCAGCGAGGAAGGGGGAGCCAGGGCTGCCAGATTGGAGTCGCCTGGAGCGCCTGGTTCGTCGATACAACTGAGAGACCAAAGGACTTCAAGAACGCCACAAACTGAGCAGCGGTCATTTGATCAGTGGAGGTCGGACGTGCGGTGGAGATCTTAGCTTTTTCGGCGTATGATGTTCGAGTATGACTCTCCTCGTACAGTATTTTGGCCTCGCGAACAAAAATGTTGCGAGTGGTCTTAATCGAGATAATTTATTTTTCCTTCACTTACGCTGAGCACGTGCGGTCGTAAGTCGTGTGCGGGGCCTAGTCTTTGTTACAGTTCATGCAATACGCTCTCCCTGAATCGCAAAATTCCGTTGTGTGCTCGGAAGAAGCGCATTTCCCACAAGCAGACATGTTGGGGCAGTACTGTTTGGTATGGCCAAATTGCTGGCAGTGGAAGCATCGCGTGGGGTTCGGGACGGAAAGGCACACCTTGACACGTGTGCATCCAACGCGTTTTTCAGAAGGCAGATCTGGCCGATTGAAAGTCAAGATGATGTTGTTTGTCGGTAGTTTTTCACTTCCTTTTCTAATAAAGATCTTACGTGCAGCAGTCGCGCCGAACACAGACAACTCGTCAGCGATCTCTTCTTCACTAACGTCACGCAAGTCGAAGTAGCTGATTATTTCCCTCGATGCATTTTATTTTGTTGTCAGGTGTGGTATTACTCGGATAGGCACAGAAACGTCTCGTTTGCCATCCTTGTCCCGAACGCAGTACGTGAATTCGGCCGCAGCCCTCGCACGATCAGCATCTGCCACGTTAACAAACCCTACCTCTAGCCCTCCATCACGCAATTTGTCGCACCGAACCACATTTCCCATATCAATCACAGCCGTTCTTCCGTTGAAACGGCGAGAGAGACCAGAGCCTCATCTGCCTCATGCCTCATCATCACTTTGGAAAACCAAAATTCATGGAGATGGCGAAGATTCCCCGCTGCTTTCTGTTCTCAACACGGTCCTTCTCGCTTTGAGGGTCAGGTGGTTTTTATATTATAAGATGTCATGCAGGTTTCAGTGAAGTTTCGGCGCCGGGGCTCCCCACCCACCACAGAGCCCAACTGGGGGACGGTCCAACCCTCCCTCGGGAGGTGGTCGCCGCCAGGGCTACCCCGGTGCTATACGGGGTGAACGACGCCTCCCACACGGCCAGGTGTAACCGGGAGACCCCTCCCCGTCCTGATCGCAGTTCAGCGTTGCCGCCCATTGACCCCTCAAGCTGCTGCGCACGGCCAGGCGCCCAAAGCAGAGACCCGCACGGAGCATCCAGCCGCAGTGCAAGCGACAAGCCGCCAGACCCGTGTGGGGCCCCACGGGCCCCCCGTGCCCCCGGACATCCTGACCGAAGTGGAGTGTTGGGACGCGCCGCGACTGACCCGCACGACGCGCCCCTCCGCCACCAGGATCCGATCAACCCGGAGACGCAGGGCGAGGGGGCACGGCGACGCCGATAAAACGAGGAGTAGGAGTGATGAGTAGGCTGGATGCGGGAAATCGGGTAGCGGGAGCGGGAGCGGGCGGGACAAGGAGCGGGAGCTCACGTGCCGGCAGGGTCGTTACGTCCTGAGTGGAACAGCTTGCGTTGTCCACCTGTTACCGGAGCTGGGACCCGAGGGGGCGCTAGTCCCTTCTTCGGCCGAAGCCGGCGCCTCTGCGGGGTACTCATGCCATGTATGAGCTTTTACAGCAGAAATAATGCCGCATAGAAGTAAAGACTAACCCTTCGCTTATACGCGAGCAGATAAATGACGAATGCGAGGATTTGCAGTGCTTTGTAGTTTAGCGCTCCTGTCTTGCACGAGTTTTTGCAGAAGTAACGCCGCGCATAAGACAAGACTGTTTGCTAAGTATAAAGTTTGCCACTGTCAAAATGCTATATAACGTTACCACAGCTTCTGAATCGTGGTTCAATATTCAGCACTTTTGATAAAATTAAGCGGATACGTTTTGCAGGCGTGGTGGCCATACTCTGGGCATCTGTATGCCCATCCAGACGATGGCTCCAAGTCGTACTTAGCCTGCGCAGAGAGAGCAGAGAGGCGCTCCCTAGTGCGCAGAGAAGCGCTCCCTGGTGCGCAGAGAAGCGCTCCGGTACGCACAGAGGCGCTCTCTGGTGCGCACGGAGGTGCTCTCTGGTGCACACGGAGGTGCTCTCCGGTGCTCCCCAGTCTGCGGGGCAGTGACGCGCGACCCGCTGGCTCAGCGGCTCCGGCGTGTGCGCAGCAGCAGCACGTCCGCGACGAGACGGGCAGGGGACCGCGGCGCTGCGAGAAAATGTATTTGGAACACGCCCTCCGAACAAGTCAAGTGTTCGGTACGCGCCAGGTCAGGTCACAGTGACCCGGACGCGTCGTCTTGACCAGTACAGCACCGATAATCGCGATGAAGATGAACACAGGTCTGAACGGCCAGGCCCGTGACATAACTATGCAGGGGCCTCGCAGGCACCCAGATGACAGTGGTCTAAGAAAAAAAAACAGTTTCCAACAGTTCGCACAAAAGATTCTACGAAATTAGCGCCGGCGATGCGCGTACACATGTATATTGCGAGCACCGACATGGCGGCAGGGAGCACGATGACAGCCACCCACGTGCCAAAAACGGGCAATTGACCAACGCAGAACCGGCACCGCTTCACTCCGCTATGAAATGGTCCATGATCGCGCTAAAACGCGATGCGCCATAGCGCATCGACACAGCGATCCGACACAACTAGCGGGGCCATCGCACCGATGCAAAATGACTCCAGAGTATGCGTAAAAACGGCATGGATGAATGAGTAACACGAATTTAGTTCCTGCCGCTCTCCCCGCAACCCAGAAATGTGGGCCGGAAAACCGACACCAGATGAACTTCCGGCGCGCATTTGACAAGCGTGAGTCACGCGCCTCTCACAATCATGAGAGAAAGCCGTAATACAGGGGAATAGCAACGCCGCGGCAAAAACCAACGACACCCACCAGCGACCGAGTCTCGGTGATGGATCTGCGCAGTCATACCATGTACCGGACGACACGATCAGAAAAGCACGCACATCCCAACAACCAACAGCCGTCTAGAGTGGATGGTCTGCGAGCCTCCCTCCACACACACACACACACACACACACATACAGATACAGCGCTGCACGGAGGAAACGCGATACGCACCGCCGCCTTCACAAGCCTTGCCCGCACCCGTCGTTCCGCCCCTTCGCACTCGCCCGGATGCCATCCCGCCTGAGAGATCACACGTGTCGGCGCGCGCGCCACCGCCGCCGCCGCCGCGTCCTCACCGTTTGCTAAGCTGATTGAGGAACTCGAGCTCGTTGATGGTGTTGCGGGTGAAGCTGTCCATCTGCGCGTCTTGCGCCTCGTCGTCAGGCATTGACACGGGCACGGCGGCGGGCGGCGGCGGCGGCGGCGGCTCCGCCTCCTCCAGGAAGCTCAGGTTCTGCGACAGGTTGCTGGAGAGATGTCCCTCGATCGCCTGCACGTTGGCATCCAGATCGGAGGGGAAGTTGAGCAGGTTGAGGTCGGCAGAGTTGAGCTGCGCCAGATCCAGCTGGATGTTGGCCGCCGAGCTGACCGGCCGCTGCGTGTCCATGTCGAGCAGCTGGTGCTGCGTCGGTGCCGGCGAGACGGCGCCCGGCGGCGGCGGCGGCGGCGTGGCCGCCGGGTGCTGCGGCGACCGGTAGCCCTGGTACTGCGCGCCGGCCGGACTCGTCGTCGCCGGATACAGGTACTCGGCCTTGATGAAGTCGCCGCCGGCCGTCGGCGACGCGCCCAGCTTGATGTACTGCGTCTGCTGGACCCCGTACGGCGCCGGCTGACTGACGATGCCGCCGCCAGACATGCTGGTGGGCGAGACGAGGCCGCCGCCGCCGCCCAGCGCCGCCGCCGCTGTCCCGTTGGTCGGCGGGTACTGCGGCTCGCCACCCGGCGCGTCTGTGGCGACGGAGGACTCGCGTCAGACGGGCAACACGTAACGTCAGACGGACAGCGTGTGACGCGGACAAACAGCGTGTGACGTCACACAAACAGCGCGTGACGTCAGACGGAAGATGACGAAGACAGAGAGCGCGTCGCGCCAGCGTAATCAAGTGACGTCAGACAGCCGTCAGCGTTTCGCACGTCCGAAGCGCGAACGCTGGACTGGTGGCAGCGAGCAACCAACTGACATGCCTTTCCCGATGTGACAGTGGAGGGACACATGGTAACTCTGTGTCGAACAAAATAGACAGGTCACAAGGCATGCGCACTGGTGCGACTGAGAACAACAGTTCGTCGGCGCCCGCCTGAACCTGCCGCTGGTCAGCGCACAGCCGACCTGACCCAAGTTCCCGGTCGACAGCGACCTGGCACGCACCCATCGGCTCGTGTTTGATCTGCTTCATCCGCTTCGTGGCCGCTTTGATCTTGGGCCGCGCTCCGGCCGGGTCAAACGACTGGGCGGCGGCCGCGGCCCCGCCACCTGCGCGCGCCGGTCGGGGTCAGGGACGGGGTCGTGACTCGAGGCCGGGTCACACGACTGAAGACACGCAGTGGTGACGCACACGGATAGTGGCGGCACGGGCACTAGCCATAACGACAGGTCTCGCTGGAGATTAACCGAAGTTTTGGGGCGAGTTTGGAACAGCTCCAACACGACAGGAGCAGGCGACGTTGCAAAATAAGCTGGCTGGGGCACCCACTTCGTAAGCGGAGCAACGGTGCCATGCAATCTAGCACTTAATGAATCTAACACAATAAGACGACAGTTGTCTCCTAGCAACAACACACAAACCAGTGTACGCTAAAAAGGAAAGCATTCAAGTTAATGGCTAATAGCAGACAAGCACGCATGCACTGTCCCCGATCGACCGAGGCAACAAACCGAGGAAGCGTTGCAAAAGCTTGTGATGTCCCGCAACCATGCAGCTTCGAAGCACATGCGGCAAACAGCGCAGTCGGGTCGGAAAATGTAGAATATGTGTGAAGGACGACAAATAGGGCAGAGGCCTGTTATGGCTCGACTACGCTCAAACATCCATCGTCACGAAAATTGATGAAAACTGCACGCAGCATGCCGTCACACAAACTTACTGTTTTCCTTTCAAAGTGCGTCTCTCCTTTCGTCGCGTAAAATTACTGCTTATCATGACATCACTTTTGGCCGACATCGAGTTAAACAAAAGATACGTGCCATTTGAATACAACGATTTTTATTGAAAATGCGTTAATTTGAATTTGCAACAAGCACATGACACCGGTTCGAGAGAAAATTGGGGGCGTCCATCCACAAACTGTATCCCGACAACACACCAATCTGACGCTACAAAATAGCACCACATCCCAGCTATCTCATTGGCACCCAAGCACAACCTGTCTCACTACGATCAGCCGAACGTTCTATTTCAATGTTGAACTTCTGGGAAGACGAGTTGAAGAAGGATGGGGACAATATACCTATCTAATGACTTCCGATTTCAGCTTACACGACACGTGGCCCAGTAGCTTGACGGAACACTTTTATCACTGTTCAAATCAGAATCAGAAACTTTCGGTGCCATAAAAGATTACCATCCAACAACTTAATAGTTCGCGCGGCAGCTCGGCGACCTTAAAACTGCAAAACACCCCCACCTATCGCACAGGGCTGCACACTGTAACAAATAGTATAAAGACCAGGTGCTAGCCGAACCTTCCAGCATAGCCTCCGACCAGACGCGTCTCCAAACTGGACAGCGTCCCACTCCCGAAACAAACAAACTACCCCTGAATGTACAAAACAATGGCGCACAGGGGGGCTACTGTCCAACAAGTCAATGTTGGGAACCATGGGCGCCACGAGACCTTGAAATACGGGCACGGCTTCCCAGTCGACTGAAAACCTGTCACCGACACCAGAAGACAACCCACCACCTCCTGTGGCAACCCAAGCAGCAAGCCGGGCCCAAACAATGCCGGACGTCCAGAGCGTCCTCAGCGCGGACAGAGCAGACCGCGGACAGGGGTCACAAACCAGGTCAAATGATGAGGCAGTTCAGGATAGGTCACAAGTCGGCCCGGGGCTCACAGGCCGGCACAAGGATGGTCGGTCAGGGCACCAGACATGGTTAAGCGGAGTTCACGGGATAGGTCACACGTAAGAGACCCGGCATTCCAGCGGCCTGTTAGGTCTCAGGCCTAAGTCACATACCGGAACACAGGTCGTGAGTCAGGTCAGGTCAGGTCACGTGCGGCCGGGTCAGATGCGGTCAGGTCAGGTGCGGTCAGGTCAGGTGCGGTCAGGTCAGGTCAGGTCAGGCGCGGTCAGGCCAGGTGTCATCGGTTCAGATCAGGCGCGGTCGTGTCAGGTGCGGTCAAGTCAGGTGCAGTCACGTCAGGTCAAGTGCGATCAGGTCAGGTCAGGTGCGTTCAGGACACGTCAGGCGCGGTCAGGCCCGGTGCGGTCAGGTCAGGTCAGGTGCCGTCCCGGGTCGCAGGTCAGACGCACGAGCGGTCGGCCCCAGAGCCCAAGCCAAGCGTCCGACGCACGAGATCAGGCCCGCCACCGGGCCGGCGGCCGCCGCCGCCGCTGAAAGGTCAACTCACTGGGGCCGTCAGTGGCCAGGTTATCGGTCAAATAGCGCTGCAGGCGGCCCGAGTTGCGCGCCATCTTGCGCTTCTTCTCCTCGATGCCGTCTGGCGGGGCAGACACATACACGCTGCGGTTAACACCGGACGGTGAGCGTCAAGATCGGTGGGCAGGCAGACCACTACAGCGAACCGGCCGACGGTCGGCGGCAAGCGATGGCACAGCTCCACTTGGATCTGACATCGAAACGTCACGCGCGCGCGCACACGCACACACTCCCAAACAGACGCCGATCAACAACACAAGACTAGATCTGTTAATGCACTGAGCGACTCGCTTACGACTAGACTGGATTGCATCCGTGTTGTCGCCGCCGGGGGAAGAAGCTGCGCGCACTACAGGGTACACCGCTATAAAACACTGCCTGAAAATGAGCTGTATCGTCAAAAACCCGCGCAAAAATAACACCAACGTCCTTGAGGGCGACGAGAGCTCGCGCCCCGAGCGCTGAGAGGCCAGCCCGGCCAGAGCTGCTCTCAACACCCGGCGGTGGGCACAGCGCCCGCTCGAGTCGCCTGCGCCATCCGCCGCCGGACCACCGCTCGCGGCCGGCCTCCGGCAGGGCAGCCCTCATCAGAGCGCGCCGGCCTCCGGCGAGGCAGAGAGTGACGGTGGCGTGGCCAGCCGAGGTCTCGCGCCACGGATCCAGGCGCGCCGCAACGGGACCGGCGCGCCGCGGCGCCCTACACGTATAGGTCGAGCACCGTCGTGGGGATCGAGGTCACGCTGCCCCAGCGGCTGATCCAGGCCGAGTAGATCTCCTCGTCGCCGTGGTCCGGCTTGGGCGGCGGCGCGCTCAGGTTGTTCTCCACGTCGAAGTAGGAGAGACTCGTCTCATCGAACTCGGAGGCGGAGGCCAGCGGCGCCACGCCCGCGTACAGCGCCATCTGCTCGACGCGGTCGTAGTTCCCGTTGCTGTAGTCGGCCGAAAGAGGGCTGCCGCGGGGCGGCGCGGCGTAGCGCCGCAGCAGGATCTCGGCCTTGCTCGGCGTCTCCAGCTGGGCGACCGCCGGCATCGGGAGCGCGTAGTCGCTGGCGTCCGGCTCGCGCTTGGTCCGGTGCTGGCGCTTGGGTGGCAGCGGCGGCTGCGGCGCGCCGGCCGGCGCCGGCGCCGGCGAGGCGCGCGCGAGCGTCGAGACCATCGAGTCGCGCGCGCCGCCCGCCTCCGAGAGCAGCTCGTTGACGGAGAGCGAGTCGGCGGCCGAGGCGGCGCCGTCGCGCGGCCGCGCCGGTACGCCGAGCGCGTCGAACACGGAAGAGGTGAGCTCGGCCGAGCGACGGCCGTCCGGTGACGAGCAGCGCTTCGCGCTCGGCTCGTCGCCGCTCTCCCAGCTCATCAGCCGGTGGAAGAGCGAGATGTGCGTCTTGGCGCGCTTGAACGACCAGAACGGCCTACCTGAATCCAATGGCGTGAAGGTGAAGGGGCGAGCCTCGCTGTACTGCCGGTCGGAGGGGCGGCGCAGCTGGATCTGCGCCCGCACCGGCGCCTCCAGCTGCCGACAGAGCGGCGCGTCATACGCGGCAGTGTTCGTACGCCCGAGCAGAGCAGCGCAATCACTCTAATGAACGAAGCAAGGGAGACACATTTGAGGGATGCAACAATACTGAGAGACCAATAATCCTACACTTTACTTACAGCGCTGCAAAATCACGTCAATTCGGACCAATCCAAAAACTGCAACGGCTTAAGTGGCATAAAAACACGACTCAGTGTCGCCACACAGGCACACCACTGCCACGCCATCCCACTGCGACCACGTTATACAGAAGTGCCGCCACTGGCACCACATGTCAGCAGCGGCGCACCCACCTCCAGAGTGGCGTAGCGCGGCGTCTTGAAGCTGATGGCGACCTGCTTGTGAACGTCGGCCGGCAAAAACTCGCCGAACGCCTCCCAGTGCAGCCGGTTGTCCCGCACCTCGAAGAATCTCACCTCGATATCGTCTGCCGGGGGGGGGGGGGGGGGCAGATGAAACCACAGGCTCATCCTGACGGTGCGTATCGTCACGACCGCGGTAAAAGCGTTGGAGTGAAGACGAGATTGCTAAAAGCTCACGTACCCCCAAAGACGCCAAGGACTTGCGCGTGGCTAAAACGCTCCGGCTTGATGCCATGCCCAGATAGGTCGACACACGATGGGAAACGTCCCGACACCCCGCAGTTGTTCCTGGAAACTGCAGTCCATCTGCATCCCCAGTCCAAGTGTACATCCATCTCGAACACATGGCCACCCCAGCGTACTTCAAAGCTGGCGTGTCACATTCGCAACAGAACCCCTAACTTGTTTGCTGGTGGCGGCGGGTAAGGGAAAATCACACCCCTCACCAACTAGGCTCTCCAAAGCTTACGCCATCCCAGTTGGTTACGCAGTTGGATGCGGGTGTGACCTTGGGTTTGGACGCAAATACGCTATGTCACATTGAATGACACATCAGCGGATTCCATCACGTGATGCCTTACAATGCAATGTATGCATGCTTAAACCGGTACAAAACGCCGCCGTCCACAAGCGTCGAGGAGCACGCAACGTCGGCGATGATACTCTGAGCATTGTGTCACAGACCAGCCGGGTGCCAGTGAGCCGACGTTTGTCCTTCGCCCGCCCCGTCGGGCGTCGGTCGGCGTTTCTCTCACCTTTTGTAACCTTGTCACAGAGCAGAATGATGTCCTTCCCGCCGGCCACGGACGCCGAACAGTCGGACATCTTGTATATTATCAAGTCGCACATGGATTCTGGAAAGAATTGCTCACGCTGGTGACACACAGCCTGGCCTGCGTCAATCATTAACTGGGTGAGGTCTCCCCAGACGAGCTGTTGGGGCTTTCACGGCACTGGCCGGCGGCGTTGCAGTGTGTATAAAATACCACGACGTCATCGATATAAATAGCTTCGCTATTGATCCAGCCCACCCACTGAATCATCCGCATGAACTGTACGACGCGCGCGCGCTTGCCATGCATTCCGCCATCCGATCACGCGAAATAACACATGTCCAGTTTCCCGTCCCGCTTTTTAACGCAAAACACCGGCAACGTGAGGTTAGCAGCGGCCTCCGCGGCCCAACGAGGCGACGCCCAACGAGAACGCCGCGCGAAGGTGCGAGCCCCACATGCGCGGCCCTCCCACGTGTACGCCTGAGTCACGGTCGTTATGACACGGCCCGCGGCGATTGAGCGACACGCGGCCCGAAAGGTCAAGTTTTACCACCAGGCGATCGCCGCACGGCGCGCGCGCCTGAGTCACCGCAATCTCGAGCCGTTCTCACGCCCGACGCTGCGGCGACCATTCAGGCGTCGGTGACTCAGGCCGACGGCCAATGAATGGTAACGTCCCCACACTTGTTTCGGGGCTGGTCCAGGACGCGTCTCCGACAGCCGCGCCAGCTGACGGTGAGCTCGGCTGCCTGCCGCGCGCTGGCCGGCCGTGTACTCACTCTTGTCGTAGATGGCGTCGGAGACGACTGGCTTGAGCGGCACCACGTACTTGCCGCGCTCGCGGCCCTCGACGAACACTTGGAAGCAGAGGCGCACCGTGTTCAGGTCGATCGTGGTCGGCTGGAGCCGGTGGTCGAAGCCGGCTGTAACGAGGCAGACGGGCGTGTCAGAGGCGCCGCCGCCAGCGCGCCGAGGGCGGGCGCAGAGGGCTCGTTCCACTCAGGCGGTGGGACGACGCTGCATTGCTGCATGGAGCCCATGGTGCGTCCCCCGTCCGAACCTCGCCGCCTGGTTGCAGACGGAGGCATGCTGCTTCCCTCGGCGAGTCGCACCAATTGATGCAACTAGTGCGAACATCTCACACGCAGCGCCACGGGAGAGCGTAGTACGCAAACCGGAAGAGATCTGGTTCACAATTCACGCCGACCCGACTGAGTCAGAGCAGCCGGGCATCACAGCTGGGAGCACGTTCGCTCGCGCCGTGCGCGGTACATCCATCGGCCTGCCGCCGGTCGGTGACCCGGGGTCAGCTGCCACCGGACCCCGCTCGCGCGACCGCTGCCGGGCGCCGGTCCGAGGACGGGCGCAGCTCGGCACCGCTGCGAGGGAAACAGCGGCAAACGCCCGGCGACTAGCGGCGTTTGGCGGTGCCGGCCATAGCCCGACGCGCGTGCACACGCGACCGGCGAACGGCACAACACGCCGAGCACCGCGCGACATAATCACGGTGTCTGCGTAGACGGGCGGGTGCTGCCGCGCCAGGTCCTATCGGCCTGTCCCAGACGCGAGCCGCTCGCCGGCCGGCGCAGCCGCTCCCGGCTCGAGGCAAACCAATGACGTCATAGCTCGGGGATGACGTCGGCGGACGGACGCAGGCGTAAACATCGCGGTGGCCAGTCCGAGTTCACCGGCGCGATGCCACCTCCGAACGGAGCGCGCGACGGGTCCCTGCTGACGACCACTGGCGGACCGACGATCCACCAGTGTGCCGGAGCTCGGTCACGGCTGTCCGCAAACGAGGACGGGCTAGATCCAAACTTATACTGCATGCGTCTGCGCCGGCCGGGGGCGCGACCGAGAGGGGGCCGTCGGGGTTCCTCCACTGCACAAGGAGCATGTAGTGACTGTGATCCCGCCCGCCGGGACATTCAGGTGGCAAGGTGCCTCCGGGATTCGACCATGCACAAGCTGACTGGAGTCACCAATGACCTTCCAAAATGTCATCGTTTATGACTGACAGCGAATATCCGCGTCATGACCCATTTCTGCAGGTGCAACCAGAAGTCTGGATGCGAAGTGGGCGCACTTTGACCGCTGAATTGCCAAGACCAAAACACGCCAAGGGCATTTAATCTCGTCTCATCTCGGATCTCGCCAACAGGCCTGCCTCTCCCTAAGCGCGCGTTGAGTCGCGGCGACCATTCGTGCCCGCCCCGCACGTCACGACTGCGGCTGTGACGTCTGCTCATGGCCTCAAAGCTGCGGGTAGGAGGATAGTTACTCCAAACATGTCCTGCAAGACGTCACAGTCCGCGTCAGTGGTCGACGATCCGTCATGATCCGGACGCCGGCAGAGGGCTCATCCGCGCCCGCCAAGCCGCAGCGCGCGGGGGCGGGTCGTCCGCGCGCGCACAGGGAGCCCAGCCCCGTGAGGCCGAGAGCGCCCCAGCGACGCCCGGCGACGGCCGGCCGCTCCAGACACGAGGCGACGGTCTGCTGTCGGTGGGTCAACAGCAACACCAGCGTCGGGCGGCGGCGGCGGCTCAGACCGTCCCGCACGAGAGCGGAGGGGAGGGGAGGAGCACGGACGGCCCAGTACCCTCGCCGGCACACCGTGGCGCTAGGCGGCCCGGCGGCGGGACGATCAAGGTCAGATGCCCCCAGACTACGGCGCGCTGCTCCCGTTAGCCGGCCTTGTCGCACCTGTCCACTGTAGGCTCTCGACTCACGGCCTCACCGCCACCGCCCCACGTGTTACAGACACGGAGATACGGCGCCAAAGCCCGTACGCGAGATGAGTTACGTAACACAGCAATAGTGATTAAGTCCTTCGCCGAACCAACTGTATCGTTGGCGTGGCTGAGCGGCTCAGCTGATGCTCAGCGGCGGGGCGGGGAGCGAGTCAGCTGGGCGATGACATGAGCTCGAGCCGACCGACCCCCGTGGAAACCGGGCCGACACACTCGCGCGGAGACCAGGCCGACACACTCGCGCGGAGACCAGGCCGACACACTCGCGCGGAGGCCAGGCCGACACACTCGCGCGGAGACCAGGCCGACACACTCACGCGGAGGCCAGGCCGGCACACTTCCGCGGGGACCAGACCGACACACTCGCGCGGAGACCAGGCTGTCACACTCGCGCCGAGACCAGGCTGACACACTCGCGCCGAGACCAGGCTGACACACTCGCGCCGAGACCAGGCCGACACACTCGCGCGGAGACCAGGCCGACACACTCGCGCGGAAACCAGGCTGACATACTCGCGCCGAGACCAGGCTGATTCACTCGCGCCGAGACCAGGCCGACACACTCGCGCGGAGGCCAGGCTGACACACTCGCGCCGAGACCAGGCTGACAATCAGCTGCATGTACCTCCGTCCCTTATAACCACGTGACAGTTTTGAATTTTTTTACAATGCCAATATTTCGATGCCCCTGATCTTTGCTGACAAAAATATTCCTTCAACGGCATGTTTTTCGGACCATTACACTAAATCCAATTGAACAACAATTACTAGACACTTATGTTTGATTTTCGATGCATCATTCAAATATTGTTGGACGCACACACAATGCCAAAGTCATATCGCCTCATTTGCTAGAGGAGGTGGCCCAATGCGTGCACTTCCTTGGGCACCAATCACTTCGGCATCCAGTCCATATAAGGAGATTCTTATCACGGCCATCGGACGCGGCAGCGGGGTAGTGGAAGGGACCCACGCCGCAAACATCCCCTCTCGTTGCCGCTTCCCACCGCCACGAACGGATCTTTCCTCACGGCCTTCTGCGGGCGCTATCAGATGCCCTCGATCTCAGCCGGTGTATTCACCATAGTAACTTTGCGGTGACCAGGCTCCCCAGCATCCGGGGTCCGTACGCTGCCAGCGAAAACAGCCCGCTATCTGATTCTCACGTCCCTCACCTGATCCACGCGAAAAGCCACTCACGCAAACCAGTTACAGAAGCAGATAGGCACCGAAGAGTCCCCTAGAGCCACAGCAGCCCACGATCTGGGGCGGCAAAGCCTTTGCGGTAATGGGCAACCCCGCCTTGTCTTCCACCTCCAGGTGATTACCGCAGGCTTACAACTCCCTAGATATTCGGCACCATACTCGACAGCTAGTCCCTCACCCTACAAACAGCGAAAGCCCTATTCATACCAGCTTGAACGTTGCCATACTAGACTGCTTAGACTCCGTCCAGTATCTTAACAAAAATGCACAGCCTCGCACAACATATTAAATGGATTGGGCCTACCCAAAATCGCTTCCGAGTGAATATGCAAAAAAGTGGCATGCTCCGCTGAATTATTAACGTATAGTTCTTTTCTTCCAAGCGACTCTTTTCCGATAAGGTTTTATTAGTTACCAACGTTTTAGCTTGAACGGCGGCCCTACGGCTGAACAGTGCACGCTGGTGATGTTTCCATCACGGCAGTATTCTAAAACACAGCATATATTCAAGCTGCCCGATATTTGAGAATCTGGCTTTGGAATAACAGTGTTATGCTCGTCCTCGGAGGACCAGGACATTTTTGGTAAGCTTAATTCAGAGAGGGACGCAGCTCCCTGATCCGCCAGCGTGTCATATCTGATCCGCTTAAGCCCGCGCGCCTTTTACCGGATTGAGGTCAGACTCGGCGGACCTTTCCGGGTTAAAAATTTGCAAAAATTTCGAAGTACAAAGTTGCGTTTCTTGATTCATGCTTCAATTTCGAAACCTGACTGATGACCGAAAACAGCTACGCACGATGAAATGTTGGCAAAACCCATTTTGAATTTTCCTAGGAGGGACAATTACGGATATACAGTCCATGGCTGCATGGAAGCTCAGTAAAAATTGTGTCTAAATTGTACAAGCCCAGCCTGATCTGACTGTGCAGCAATGACTGTCTGCGCCTGATCCGACTGTGCAGTAGTTGTCTGATCTGATTGTGCAGCAGTTGCCTGATCTGACTGTGCAGCAATTGTCCGATCTGACTGTGTAGCAGTTGCCTGATCTGACTGTGCAGAAGTCGTCTGATCCGACTGCGCAGAAGTTGCCTGATCTAAGTGTGCAGCAGTTGCCTGATCTGACTATGCAAAAGTTTCCTGATCTGACTGTACAGCAGTTGCCCGATCTGACCGTGCAGCAGCAGTCTCGTCTGACTGCACAGCAGGTGCCTGATCTGGCTGTGCAGCAGTTGCCTGATCTGAGCGTGGAACAGTTGTCTGGGCATCTGAAGAAAACAGGGCGGCAACCGCGCTCGCCTAACTTTGCGGAATGACTGAGACCAGGTGTTAGTGTAACGCAGGGACTAACTGTTCAGACTGTTCAGACTGCAACAGGACTGTTCAGACTGTCATCCTTGTGTGGCGTGCTAGTATGGCCACCACGAGTCATGCGACTCCCGTGGACGACCACACAGGGGTGATGGTCCGAACGATTATTCCTAATGATCTTGGCTGTTGTTACGACATTAAGGTTCACTTTAACTTTGATCTTTATGCACAAACCATTTTCAGAACAAGGATACGTGAGCAATGGTCATTGAGACGAATTACCTCTGATTGGCACAATATATCTGGGACTTGTTTTGGGCATAAGCAAGACATGAGCAACAGGTAACAGCAACATGAACAACTAGAATGATCAGCCTCCTCGCTTTTCCGCGTTAAGAATTCTTATGTTGAAGATTAAAATTCATCAGTTTTAAGACACCTGCTATCGTCAACAACCGACCATGCATGCACCAGGGTTTCCTTGGGAGGGGGGAGGGGAGGGAGGGGGCCGATGAGTCGTTTTAGAGCCCTAAGTCGTCACATGAGTGGAACTGGCAGCATTTCTCCAAATAGTGTCATTGGTACCTTCTGTTTTTGGACACCACAAGTGGCGCGGCATGACAGCCGAGCTGGTAACAAACTTCATACTTCCAGAAAAGAAATGCCTATCACAGAAAAGCCCTAACGCAGCATTTCATGCGCGTGTTGCTGTTATCACATGGCCAATATTGAACCGTAACCACCACAAAGGCTGACTTCCTGTCCTGAGGCGGGCATACGACCTCGCGGTTATTCCGGCGCATCTGTCTTTCCTGAGTTGTACACTCACAATGCCAAATTCTGACTATATATAATGGCATCTAAAAAAAAACACACTCCCAACTTGCTGAAACCGACCATTTTCTTGCACAAGTGTACACCCATGTAAAATGCCACCAATGACCACATGCTGCAAACTTCTAGAATATCTTGACTTCCTCTATGAAGGGCTATCAGTAGATAGGTATATCTAGTTCAAGAAAATCTAGCGTTTTGCTCGCTAATCTAAAGAATAGGTGTCGGGAGTTTTGATACCACTTGGGGACGGTCCAACGGCACTTCCAACCTTGTCCTTCTCAGCTCTATTCTAAGCATGACATCGCGTTAAATATTAAGTGAGTCATTATACATGATTTCATAGTTCAACCATTGCTTGCCAATGTATGAATGCCTCAGCTGATATTGGGTAACTAATTGTGAGCAGTACATGAAAAGATTGCAACCAGGACGCGCATTTGGCAAACAGCATTAAGTTAAACATATTACTAAATGCACGCTGTATCTGCATCAACAACCCAGAGCTAAAGTGGGTCAAGATGGCAGCAAGCCGCACTTTTGCGGGCTAAATCCCAAGCTGGCTGGGGCGGGGCGGGCTGCGAGTTGACCTTGGGAAAAATGGCGTCTCTAGCCTTAATCTCTTTCGACCATTCCTGCACGTGCAGGATGTGCCTGATTTGCTATAGATCGATACAGCCGTGTCCTGCCGTTGCCTCTCCCCGACCGACCCTTCGGCCGAGGCTGGCCGCGGACCGGTAGCCAGTCGGGAATCGCGCCAGGACGAGAAGCGCCCGCGGTGTCGACCCGGCGGTCAGGGGGACTCTACTGACCACTGACCGAGCAGTGAGGGGCACAGCCCGACAGAGCACGTGACATTAGCAGACCAAAACAGGGCAGGTCAAGCGCAGCTCACTCGCTTTTCAGCTGGTCAACCGCAGGGGAACGGAAGGCATCCACCAGCTTCAACGACCACTGCGAAATCGTGCTCCTGGACAGCTTTGAAACCAAAGCATGAAGGCCCCGCGACATTTGCATGCAAGAGATCCACAACCGTGGCGGCCAATGCGACCAATCCTTCCCTCAAGGGGAAAGGGGTACGACCACCCTTCATTCAACCACGAATTGTAGGGGATCCCGCACTTATCCGAGCACCCTTCAACACAGGAGATATAGTGATTGCCACAGACACTGCCCTTGCACAAAACTGAAAGACAGTAACCGATACTGAACGATAAAACGTAACCGATAGTGAACAGGCCACCCAACACGCCCGCGTTCCCCGGAGGTCCGCCAGAGGCAGGCGGCGGCGACTCACTCTGGAAGGGATCCACGCGGATGGACTCGCGCAGGCGGAGTGACTCCTCCACGTCCTTCTTCTTCACGCACTGGATGCCCAGGTTCTGGAACGTCACCGACATCGTCTCCACGTTCAGGTTGACGGTGCACACGCCCTTTTTGCAGCCGTCCTTGCCGACCAGGTTGTGAGGGTGCGGCCGGTACGGCGGGTCCTTGGTGACGCACGAGACCACCACGACGGCCGGGCCCTGGTAGTTGACCACCTTGACGCTGGGGAAGGTCTTGTTGTCGGAGGTGGAGTTGGCGCCGGGGATGCTGCCGGCCGAGCGGCCCTCGCACTCGTACCGGAACCGGAGCGCCTTGGACGCCGGCTGCTCCGTGATCTCCACCTCAGCCTGCCGTCTGGAAGCGGGATCAAGCGGGGTCAACTCGAAGTCACCCAGGTCAAGTCGTGGTCACGCAGGCCAACTCGGCGTCACATAGGTCAGCCCTAGGTCATATAGGTCAGCTCGGGGTCACACGGGTCCGCTCCGGGCTACAAAGGTCGGCTCGAGGTCATACAGGTCAGAGGGACCCTGCTGGCCACGACGGAAGGAACGTACTCGGAGCACACAAGTCGAGGAAAGGAAGGGCATGTACTGCTCAGATTTCCGCCGTGTTAACAACGGTCAGCCCATGCTAGCCACGACCCGGTAGGTTAGAACAGCGCCTTCGATTTGGATCAGCCAGACGGAACGGATTCAGCCCGTTCACAATGGGCCCGGTTCGGGGTATCCAGCGTGACGGTGACGTTACAGCGGGCAGGGCTACTCGAGGTCGGTTCGAGTCATGGCTCGATATCAGAGCCATCGGCGCCCCGGCAGACCGGGCCGCGTGCGCCAGGGTCGGGCCGGCTAGCGGAGCGCGGGCGGCCCCCGGGTCCATCGCACGCAAACCGTCATCGCGCTACCGCGAACCGGGCGCGGCGTGCGCCGGACAACGGGGTCAGCACAGTCGGACGGCCTTCAGCGCCGGCCCGCAGATCACACGCCGCGGAAGCGAGGGACGCCGTCGACACGCGACTCCCCGGCTCCGCCCGCGCGTGCAGACCGGCGCCGCCGGTGGCATACATCACCGTGGCATATTCTCCGCGCCGACCGCAGCCCCGCCGTTCCGTCGCGGGCCGCCACGCGCGACGTGCGCCGCGACCGCCGCCGGTGGCGCAGCGGCCGGCGCGGCGCGGCCGGCTGGCGGCGCGTGCACGCGCGCAGCGACGTGCAGACGCGGCGGCGTGCTACGCGACGCGCCACCAGGCAGGCGCCGCCCGGCCCCGCACCGCCCCGGCGGACTGCGGCGCACGCGATCTGCACGATCCGGTCGGCGCAGGGCGGCGGAAGCCGCGCTCGCGACGCGTGGAGGGCGCCCGGACACCGTCGCCACAAAGAAAAGGAGGGGGACTCGCCTTGACCTGCTTGGAGATCGCCGTGAATGCGCTTAGCAAAGGGGGGCTTCATTAATCACTTCCGTGAGAAACACGTAGGATTTAGGGTGGGGTGCGAGGAGATTAGTATAGATGCGAGTACAGGTGCACTCTGCAGCCCCTGCGGTTTAGCCAGAGCTTACGACATGGATTTCCAACAATTCGCGTCAAATCACATTCAAATCTGACCGCAAATCAATGACAGCGGAGTGTGCGCTTGCACACGTATGATTTCAGACAACTATAGCGCGCTTAGTCAGCCCCGTTATTCGTACAGACTGACCAGAACAACGGCCGACATGTTGCCCCGCAGCAACAGCAGCATCAGCCGTGATACATGGCGATGAAATAAGAATGACGGCACTGATAATTTCTGCGTCGTACACCTCGCCAGCGACAATATGGCGCTACACGCCGGGTTCCACAACCTCTACGCATGCTGCAACGCCGAAACAAAGGCACGACTATTAACCCTGAATATACGCCGCGTACAACAAAGCAGCCGACTCTTTACATTTCCGGTTTGGATTGCGCTCGAACGTAATCCCGTCATCTTTGGCGCGCCTGTGACCAGTGCGTCACGTGGGATGTGACGAAACACCATCAGCTGACTACCTGCTGTCACACACACCAACCGCTCGGTACCCACTCCTTGACAATCGACAAACCCAAAGTACTCGCACGCGTACTCCTGTGGTACGTCGGAGTTAATCAGCAAAGTGGTGCGGCGTCGTACAGCGCGATTATATGCTCGGAAGCGGCGCTGTTACTCAGGCGGTTACGGCAGTCCCTAACCACATTTGGGAGGCATCTGATCACAATGTTGTTTAATTTTCTGGTGCCGAAACTGCGTCACAAATTCCTCAACACACAGTTGTTTTTTTGGATTAACTTCTTGATAGCGGCTTACCTTAAGGATTAAAGCAAAGATGCGAAAACGTGGCTTGAAATACGTATTTTCATATTATATATTCTAGTGATGCATTCTCCACGGCTGGCTATCAAAGCAAACGTGCGCTTACGCCAAACTTAATCGCTAAGTTGGGCTCAGGCTCTTTGCACAGTTTTGGAGGATGCTTCGACGAAATTAGATCCTGGATCCCGCAGGAAGTTCCTTACAAAAACTGTGCAAAAAATCATTAATTTGGAAAATGTAGCCACAAATTCCAGAAGAAAAACGGTAAGTCCCATAACAAAATTGCAAGGAGGATATCTGATCTCAAAAATATGTGTCTGCGAGAGCCGGGTTTCAGTACCCTAGGATCCTATCTCATGATTCCGTGACTCCAATGATACATGACATGACTCTCATGACACATGGTATGACTTCCATGACAAGGTGGGATTACATATGTAACGAGCATTAATGAAGAGCTTAATCCAAATTAACAAATTTTGAGCCACACATACTACAAAGCGGGTGCTACTGCAATATTTTGACTCCTCATTGGGCAGTTCAACACAGCTGTGTGTGGAGGCAGCAAGGCTATGTACCTGATGCTTTATGATATTTTGTATTGTACTGATTTGTTTCATCTTTATTATTCCTTGGCATGTCATACAAGCACGCTGTACAACATTTCTCAGAAGAAAGAGCGAATGTGAATACATATATGAATGACAAACAACGCGCAAAAGCGCACATTTCTGACTGTGCTGTTAGCTGATGAAAGTCCATCCTAAAAACAACACAGGAAAAGTCTACAAAGACAGGGAATGAGCAAAAAAACGCTTGGAGTGGCATTCTAGACTCGCTGCCATGGGTGTAGTTTCCCTTTAAGTTGGGGGGGGGGGGGGGCGGCTACCGCTCAAGTTTCGGAGAAAAGTGGGCCAAATCCTGGAAGAAATCCATCTGTTGACGAATTTCGAGAGAACGTTTCATCACCTTTTATGGTTCAGACTCCCACTCACTTTGCGAAACTACACCGCTGCCTGCTGCGGTAAAAAGCATGACACACTTTGAATATTGGTGTGTTTGGTTCGCTTTCACTCACCCCAATGATTCAGGTTTTCCGGTCGCAGTTTTTGGGGCAATTTGACGCTGCCAAACCACATGAAGCAAACAAGAAGCATGTGGGATGCGCTGGTGTCCAGCCATCTTTGAGCCTATACCAAGCTGGTTTAGTACCTTTTAGGCGATTTCAGCAATGGCAATCGACAATCGCTTAATTATGGCAATCGCGCAAACCGCAGCTGGCCTTATTTTATAATCAGTCTGAGGTAAACTTCAGAACTGAGTATAAAAGGTTGGCAAACCTGAGAATCGACACCGGTTTTAACTTTAGTCGGTACATTTGCATCATCATTAATCAAAAATTTACAACCTGTTGACAACTCTAACTTGTGACAAGTAGTGCACACTGATATCTTATTTACGACAAATAGTGCACATTGATATCTTGTTTACACAAATACAATGATCCATATTTCACTAAGTACGATTATGTAAGATTATGTCATAATAACAGAAATACGATGCTACACAAGTTACCTTTTTCCTGATCTAATTAGTTCCCAATTATAGCCCAAAACGCATTATATCTACTTATTCCAGCCCAACGGCAACCAGACGTCTTGAAGCTGTTAACAAGCCACATAAATACAATAATTAAGGCACCGTCAATACGTTGAAACAAATTATGGGCAAGCCAATGCGCTACACTTGCGCGCTGTAGCGATGTTTCGTAAGGATATTCTGCGTGTGGGACTAAGGCGCCGGGCCGGCGACTACAATTCAAAGTGATGTATTTTCTATCGGCCTTGCATGTCACACTTCTGGTAACAGGCGTCACTTCAGCTGGCGTGTTGTGGTTCCCTTGTTTGAATCATGGGGGACGGACGACCTGCCCTGCTGCATAAATCTGGATTTATGTGTGAGCCCACGAGTTCCTGAAGCGACGAACTTTGCTTTAACATCACGGACAGGGAGGGCTTCGGTCTAGCGGCGTACGTAGTAGACATATAACTGGTTTATACTTGTACGAAAAATCTGACTTAAGTGACAGGTTGGCGCAGAGGTGCAGTGGAAGCCACAATTTTGGCACCCTGTTACAACTTAACACCCCAACTTTCAAATGAAATATCCAATCACAAACAGGTTCCTTGACACATCTGATTACGAGCAGGGCACAGTCACAATGCGTGTCCACTTATAACCGTCGTGCATAAGCGTTGCTATGAAATATAGACCGTCGCCAAAGAAAATTTCTCTCCGAAACCTCTCCACTCTTATACCTAATTCATAGCCACCGCGACTACTGACCACCATGCCTGATAAATACGAGCCGACGCATTTTCTGCCCGCCCGACTGGGTCATCGCCGCGCCTCCGACCGCGTCCTCCAGGGCCCGACTCCCAGCAGACACCCTGACCCCAGGTAGCAGTGGTCGTCCGGCGGGTCGCCCGGTTACTGACCTCGCCCGTATCACGGGGTCGAAGTCATCGGGCCGGGGCACGACGCCTGAGTAGATGGCGGCGCTGCCGGCGTCCGAGGGCGCGTAGCCGGCCATGCTGGTGTCGGCGTACTCCAGGTCCGTCTGGATGACGTCCACTGAAACACAGCGCAGTTAGCATCGCCACCTCGCAACACCAAAACCAGTCTGGACGACGTTCTCCAGGACAAATATTCTGCACTCCTTGGCCGCGCTAGGAGTGTGCGAGAGTGGACTTACTTACACGGTCCGAGGCTTGGTAGGCATGTGTTCAATGGCCGTGCAGAAGCCTGAATGCATACAGACCCATGCACTAGAACAATGCTCGGTCAGAGTAAGTGAAACAACCCACTGAGCGCGGCTTAAACTCAATGGCTTCAATGTGTTTCGTTGTCGCTCAGCCGACCCGAACAGCCAGTGCTCGTATTCGCCCTGCAAAGCCCGACGAATCAAGGACACGTAACTACGTACACAAGAGGTGACTTTACACCGGCGTGCCGGATGGTGAGTCCTCTATATGACATTCCACACACACACACACACAAACAATACACATACAACACATAGCGGACGTGCCAACGCGCAACGCTTACGGAAGCGTCCAGGCCTTCCCACGAGAATGTCTGACTTCACGTTGATGCAACGAAACGGTGGAACACCCCGGACACAAACACAACTGTTGTGAAAATGGCTTGCCGTGATCCCCAATAACGTTTCATCCGTTAAATGCCGCCTACTCCTAAGTCCGACTTTCCTTATTCTTTGAGCGTGAGGCGAACTTCCTATTGCGTGAGACGGCCGTGCAAAACGATGCGGCATCCTTAACCAAATATTTGTCTTCCAAAATGAGGAAAACCGATAAAGTTTCTATGCTAACTTTCCATGAAAACAGTAATTGAATACCGAGTAAGTAGCTTTGATGTCGCTGTGAACCATTTTCAGCTTACAAACTGCAAAAACCACATTTCCAGCCTTGCTGAAAACCTGTACACTCCCCTCAGCAACATGAGCATGTGATATAACGCATGGGTGGCATGCTTGCATTGCGCGAAGTGCGCGGGATCACGGTTCAAACTATGTGTGAAACAACAACGTTATCAAGGAGTTATCAACGATCCTGATCGGACCATCACTACGCCCAGCCTATGGAATCAGCTGGTCCCGATGCCGTACATGCGCCACCCGTATAGGGCATAGGCATGTCATGACGGCCAGACAGGGCAACTGGTGACGTCACGCCGTGTGTGTGTATTGCCAGCAAGATGGCTTATTTGGACTCACATGGCGCGCTATGATCACCAACTCTGATCAGCGCGGGCCATACAAAATAACAACAATGGCCCCGATGGATTCCCATCAAGGAAAACGAGGACCACTGAACCGAAATGTATTTACCAGCTCCGATTACCAACTCTGATCAGCACGGGCCGTACAAAATAAGAGCCGCGGATCGGATGGATTTCCATCAAGCTAAACGAAGACCAGTTCACCGAAATATCTTAATCCTGACATAGCTGTCATGGACAGCCTCACATGCGGTATGCTTAGCAACTCAACTGCACCTACTCTCTGCTTATTCTGTGGAGGATTACCCCTCACCTCACCGCCTCACTACACACAGACCGCCGTCGAGGTTGTCCCGTTGCGCTGCCGTCCACGGCCCACACCTGATTCCGGGTGCAGAGTCCAGCCGGGTGGCAGCCCGGCCTGATACGGGCGTCCGGCAGCACGCCGGCCGCTCCCTCACCAGCCGCTATCAGCTCGGCACACGCCGCCAGCCCGATACGGCTCTACCGGGGATCACCGGACATCACGGGCGCCACCCGACCGGCGCAGGGGCACACCGGGCAGGGCCGCGGCGCCGCCCGCCGCCCGCCGCCCGCCGCCCGCCGCCCGCCGCCCGGCCGGCGTCTTCTGCCTGCGACGCGGCGGGCTGCGGGCCCACAGCACGCGCCGGGCTTGAGCTCGGCCGCGCGATGCTAGGGCGCGTCCCGGCCGGTGTCCGGGGGCAGCTCGAGGCCCTCCCCCGCCCTGGACCGCCTGGCCGGGTCAGTCGATCCGGCTCCGGCCTCCCAGGCGGCCGTCTCCGCTGACCTGACCCACCCGCTCCCGTCCGGACGGCAGTGGCGTGGAGAGCGGCCGAGGGGCGGGACAGGACCAGTGACGTCACGGCGGGGATGGGCGGGCGTCACTGCTGGGTCCGCAGTCAGGGTCACGGTCCACCCTAACGGGTCCCGCGGCACAGTGCGGAACACCGGCCGTCGTGCCATCCGATGACGGCCCCCGGCGGTCCGCGCCGTTCGGCGACGGGGACGGAACCGCATCGGTCGACGATGGCACAGCCGTGCCACGCCAGCCGAAGCTACGAGCCAGTCCTCCGAATCATTAAAACGAGCGACGCCAAAAGCGTGGCACTCAACCTGTCTGACACTACTAAGATTACATGGCATGACGCTGACAGCGGGACCATGGTTCCAGCGAGGCGCATAGTTCGGCGATACGACGCCGATGTGCTGAACCCTTCTCCTCCCGGGCCAGACAGGGCGGGAGGCAGGCGGGCACACAGCCGTGCCACGGCAGCCAACAGAGATGACACAGTCGTGCCACGCTAGCCGACAGGGGATAGAGGAAACAGCCACACCGCCAGACAGTGGGAACAGACACGTGCCACACCGTTCGACAGTGGAAACAGACACGTGCCACACCGTCTGATGATTGGGAAGAACATCGCCACACCATCTGCCATCTGGGGAGTGTCGTCACACCGTGAGACAGGGCGGACTTATCGGGATCTAAATGCCACCGACGACCGGAGATAAACCCATAATCCACTGCCCACCACCACAGTGGGGCTTAACCCGTCACGGACGCCACACTATCTGACAGTCTGACGGAGCAGGGCCAGGCCTTCCAGGTGTGATCCCGGGAGTGCGGTGCGCCGGACCACGAGCACCGCGAGTAACAGCAAAGCGAGAACGCGGACGAGCCGCCGGCGAGGCGCCAAGGGTGGCGTGAGCACGACACGGCTCCCGGTGGCGTGAGCATGAGACGGCTCCGGGCGGCGTGAATGCTAGACGGCTCCAGGCGGCGTGAGCGCGAGGTGCCAGGGGTGGCGTGAGCACGAGACAGCTCTGGGTGGCGTGAGCACGACACGGCTCCAGGCGGCGTGAGCGCGAGACGGCTCCAGGTGGCGCGGCAACTCAGATGGCTGGGTGAAACGGGAGAGGAAATGGAACATAGGCGTGACCCGCTGTCTGCCGTGTCGCAACCATACGACTCAACGTCTCGCTCCGGCCAAAGCCCCACCGCATCAGCCAATTACTGTATGGGAGTGCAGCTTCCCGTAACCAACACCTGCCCTATCGCTAACGCGATCGCCCTTGGCCCACCTGCACGCTGTCAGAGTTGGTCGGCGGCACCTCTTCCTGTAGCAGGGAGCGTCTCTCGGACGTGTTTCTCCTGCGAGCACGAAAGATCCACGCACGCAGGCCCCAGCAGGCGTCAAAATCTGAGCTGCCCTCTCGCCAGTGGAGCAGAAACTCTCCACGCTTCCTCGCGGCAACACGAGCACTCGCCGACACGCCTCTTCAGCAGGTGGGTCTCTTCGGCACACGTGACGTCACACTACCTCCTGGTCCGTTCCTGGTCTCCTAGCCTGCGATCGGCAGGTCGGTCTCTTCGGCACACGTGACGTCACGCTACCTCCTGGTCCGTTCCTGGTCTCCTAGCCTGCGATCGGCCGGTACGCGTCAGCTGGGCACCGCGCGCCGGCCTGACCCGCCCCGCACCACCGTCCTGCCGCGGATGGACTGATGACTGGCCGGGCGCCCGGCAGCCGCCGGCCGCCGATAGGCCGCGGGTGACGTCACTCGCAGCCCCGAGCTGGGTAAACCCGGGTGACGTCACGTCCCGGCGGGTCTCAAACCGACGGCGCTGCAGCGGTAACCGGGCAAAGCGCGACGGCCGCGATCAACGCCGCGCGGGGTTCTCAAATCGACAGCGGATGACGCGTGAGAATCCCGAATCCCGTCCTGAGACGCGAGTGAGTCTCTCCACGCGGCTTGCGAGCCCAGCGGCGGGACGGGTCAAGGCCCACACTATCGGCCTCCGCAGGTCCCACATCCCTGCACCCGTGACCCTGGCGCCCCTGACATTGGCCGCCGCGCCGCGCCACGCCGCGCTCGCAGTGCAGATCGGCGGGCGGCGCCGGTCCGGTCCCGTTTCCGGATCTGCCGGGGCGGCCCGGTGCGCTGCTGGCTTCCGGCGGCTGCCCGGCCAGCGTGGGATCGCCGTGAAGGCCCACAAACGACCCGGGAGCGCCCGCTGCCGCCTGCATCCGCGTCAACGGCACGCACCGCGCGGCCCGCTCATGCAGCTTTGACGGCCGAAAACTACGCGACGCGTGGCCGACGATACGCTGCGTGTCTGCCGCTTCGTGGATTTCACAAAGGCGCCTAGTCTTCCTCATCTACAATTGGACACGCTATATCTGCACGGTGGCCGGTGCAACGTTCGTAATGCTTTATGACCGGGCCCACGAGGAGACCGGGCAAAACAGGTAATGAGAGTTGCAGAAAACCCGGCCGGATCTGGCCCGACGGGCACGGCGGGAAATCCAGCACGTGCAGGTGGGCCTGGTGCTGGGACAAGGTCATCTCTGACCGAGTTCAACGCCGCCTAGGTCACCACGTTACCAACCCGGACCAACTCATCAAAGGCCGTGATAACGTATAAATACGGAATGTCACCTTCAGCACGGTACGGCTCCTAGCAGTTAAGTGCAGTCCAACCGTACATCTTCATTTCCGTGGAAACCCATTCATACCTCATTTCAATAAACACACGCTCCTCGCCGGCCTCTGCGAATGCCCACTTCCAGCTTTCCAGATTCGACGACTGCGAGCAGACTCAGGGGTGGTCCAGGTAAGGACAAAGGCAACCGGCACGACGTGGCGCCCACCACCCCAGAGCAGAGACAATCCCGGCGGTCCTCTCGCCTGCCGACCGGCTCGTCGGGCCCCCCGGCGGCGGGTCGCATCCGCCTGGAGGTGGCATCCGTTCCAGCACACGGTGCCGGCATTCTAGCCTAGAATTATATACAACGGCTCGGGGCTGAATCATCAGCTGGCGTGGCTGACGGAAGCGGGCCAGGAGCAAGGCCGGTCCCGGCGCCCCAGCCGGCCCACACAGGCCGACCGCACGGCCCAGTCCCGGTGCGCCAGCCGGCCCACACAGACCGACCGCACGGCCCAGTCCCGGTGCACCAGCCGGCCCACACAGGCCGATCGCACGGCCCAGTCCCGGTGCACCAGCCGGCCCACACAGGCCGGTCGCACGGCCCAGTCCCGGTGCACCAGCCGGCCCACACAGACCGACCGCGCGGCCCAGTCCCGGTGCACCAGCCGGCCCACACAGGCCGACCGCACGGCCCGGTCCTGGTCCCCAAGCCGGCCTGACAGGCCAGTCAGCGGGAGGGAGCTGCTCCCATGGCGCTGAGCCCAGCGCGGGACCCCGTCCGGCCGGCACCGCCCCGTGCGCCGAGCGTGACCGGCGCACCGCGGCCCCACACCGGGGAGCAGGGCGCTCGCCGCCGCCACTGGTCGAAGTCGGACCAGCCGGCGCTCCCGCTCGCGGCACCGAGCCGCGCCGCCAGAGGGCGGGAGCGCTCAGGGAGCGTCCCCGTCAGCGGCAGGCCGCACTCGTCCGTCCGGGCTCCTGTGCCGGCGAGGGCGAGGGCAGACAACAGCACGTGAGGGCCGGGCAGCCGCCGCCGCCGCCGGTCCCGGCTGCCGACCAGTCGCCGCTGGTGTACCCGGCTGCGGCGGATGGATGGGCCGATCGCTACACGGTCCGTGCTCGCCGAATCGCCATCTGCCTGCGGAGATACCCGGAATTCCGCGCGGCTTCAAGGCTGAACGAGCCGCGATGCAGCTTCCTCGCGACCGGCCCACGATGGAACGATCGATACCAGGGCTCGATGCAGGAAGTTCACCTCTAGTCATCCGCAAAAACAACAGTGGCGGTGGTGTAAATGATGACGCAACGCAGTGACGCGCAAATACGTGTCCAACACCGCCAGGTTCCGGACGGTAACAGAAACGCAAAAATTCGACGGAAATCCGACAGCAGCGGGCGCCCTCCCTTACGCCCCCCCCCCCCCCCTACAAAACACACCGTTATCACGTGATAACAGATAACAGTACATTTTACAGTGAGTTCATAGCAAGCCGGCGTGTGGCACGCGGAATGAATCAGCTACCTACCCGTCGCCACCAAGCTATCGCTTCCACGGAGCCCCGACCTGATCACGTCATGCCGCGGCCGCGTCAGACCGACACGGGACGTGCGGGCGGCGGGGAGAGAGGCGGTGCGCACGACTCCCCTACCAGCGGAACGCGAGACGCGAGACGCCCCTCCCAGCGGAGCGCGAGACGGCCCTCCCAGCGGTGCGCGAGACGGCCCTCCCAGCGGAACGCGAGACGGCCCTCCCAGCGGTGCGCGAGACGGCCCTCCCAGCGGTGCGCGAGACGGCCCTCCCAGCGGAACGCGAAACGCTCCTCCCAGCGGAGCGCGAGATGCTGTTCCCAGCGGAACGCAAAACGCCCCTCCCAGCAGTGCGCGAGACGGCCCTCCCAGCGGAGCGCGAGACGCCCCTCCCAGCGGAGCGCGAGACGTCCCCCCCAGCGGAGCGCGATGCGCCCCTCCCAGCGGTGCGCGACGCGACCAGACGGGACGCGACAGTGCGAGCCGTCTTTCCGAGTGCGACCGCGCGCCGCCAGGAGGGGCGTGGTCGACGCGCGCTCGCTCAGCGCGCCGGCCGCCCTTCGGTGCGGGACTTCACCCCGCCGGCGGCGACCAACCGGACACGCGCCGCCGCCGTGTCCGGGAGCCAGTGCGCCGCCGCCGCCGGGGTTTTCCCGGCGCGGCGCGGCCCGCTCGGCGAGCCACGCACCGCTCCGCCGGTCCGGACCGCGCCTCCCCGGCCGGGCGCGGCGCCGGCGGACGCCATGGACGCCGCGGGCAGGGCGCGGGCGGACGCCGGGGCTTCGTGGACACCTTCGGCAGGGACGGCACTTCCATTCGCGTTTGCGTTTCCCGACTACGTGACATCAGACCCTGACCTATCGGAGGCAAGGTCGAAGGGGCCACCAGATCTCTGTAGCGATTATCATCCAACGCCTGCAGATACGGACACCCCAAGGCCATTCCATGCAGATGCGGGTCGGGTGAAGTCCCCGCTCCCAGCCGCAGCGAAGGCCGCCCCCGGTAGCATTGCGTCATCCCCGTTCGCCGTATAGCTCCTGACGGTAAACATGCTCTGCTTGTGGCGTTTCATGGCATCGCTTTTCCACCGGCGCACAAAAATAATACTTGGAAGCTGTGACCGAGGAATACCCTAGCAGCGCCTTGCTAACACTCACCGATGTCATGTTTTGGCGCGCCGCTGCACTCCTCCACCAACTGCGCTACGGCAGGCAAAAGACAGGTCAGGTGCGGTCGGCCGGGTCAAGGGGGGCAAGGGTCGATTTGGCACAGATCAGCCGCGGCCAGCAATCGCATGCACATCCATGGGGAAGGAGATATGGTCAAATTTAGCCTCTATTAACAGGGGCGGAAATGGGAAATTGATTAAAAAATGCACGTTGTAAATGTTGTTTTTGTTGTTCATTAGTGTTTTCGGGCGCGTCTACTCCAATGGTCATTTTGCGCCTATAACGATGTTTTTACTTAATTAGTATGGTGTGAAAATGACTTGAAAATCAACATCTTTTAAGAACGAAAAGAACCATTTGGAATCAAGAAAGGAGGAACTGTCCCCCAGCACATCGCTAATCGTCAGGGGCGAAGCCTGCGGACCAAAGTGACGTCGTTCTTCGATGAGGCACGGACATGATACAATGACATGGTGGACAGTGAGAACGGCACCACATCGCTGGCATAGGGGTCTGTCGGCTCCATGCAACAGATGGCCATGGGTGGCATACGTATGCCCAATACGCAACCTGCATAGAGCCACTTCTTCCCACCGCACACTGCGAGAGCATGACGACCACAAGCCCAACTCGGTTTTTATCGCCATGAGCTTATTGCCGCCCACCTGGTACCAACAATGCTGCAATTTGCTTCTCAGGAAGGTCTTGACTGCCGGGTAGAAATATCTGACAGGGATAGGCAAAAACCGGGTATATGGTGCCACCGCTGCTCGCTTAGCAGCGGCATCGGCCAACTCGTTGCCCACGATACCGGCGTGACTGGGGATCCAGCACAGGGCAACTCCCTTTCCAACTCGATCCAACTGTGTCAGGGGTGATAAAATGTCCTGTATAAGGAGACATGGTGGATAAAAAGACTTCAGTGCAGAGACTGCTCAGTGAATCTGTAAAAATCGCGTGTGAAGATTCTTCACCCACTTCTATGAAACATATCACCTTGGTGATCGCAATTAGGGTGCATCTTTCATGACACGCCAGAAGCTCAAGTGCCCTGGATCTCAGGTGTGGTGTGACGTCTTTTTTGCTAATTCCGTAAGCGAGGTGTCAATGAAGGGTGTGGTCACTTGCCAAGGAGGAAAAGCCAGGTGGCTTACTTGCTTTACACCTCGAAGAGGAATTCCGCTCTCGAGCAATAAGGCTCTCATTCGGAACAGGTTGTAAATGTCATTGAATTAAAAAGAGGACCACTGACACATGGAAAATTTTCCTCGCTTGATGCCTCAGACCATACGCACATGTCAGCCATTTGATGACGTGCACAGCTTCCGACACATTTTAACGCCGCCAACAGTTTGTTTCGCAA